CCTCCCATCCCAATTCTTTTTTCTCTTTTTATTTGTCTGTTTTTCCTGGGCAAAAAAAAAAAAAAAAAAAAAAGGATAAGTTTAGTTTCACCTACTGCTAAACACTTTTTATATGTGATTAGAAAAATTTATATATAATTTTTATATATTCCTCAAATAATGCTAACAAAGATGGATTTCTCAGTTCTGCTTGCAGTATTTTAAGAAACAAAATGACACAAACCAGTGTGTTTTATGAGAATGCTTCATGCAGCGTCTAAATTTGGATTTTAATTGACAGTGTGCTATTATTGATTCTAGGAGATTTCTTTTTTCTCTCACAGAGCCAGATATATCTTATGCTGTATCCTGATACAGCATGGAAAGACAACGGGGTCACAGCTGGTTCCTACATGATATAGGGATTTTAGGAATTTATATTTCTTCTTATAGAAGAAGAGAAAGTATAGAAGGTACCTTGATTTTTAGAAGGCAACTTTTTAGACATGGTTTCATCAGAAGCCGCTTTTGTACAGAAATCTCATTCTAATCAAATATAATGTTGTCTATATAGCTATGAGGAGATGTTTTTACAAGAGTTTTGTTTCTACATCATATTTTATAAGCACATGAGTAAGTTTCTAGAAAAATATGAATCCTACCCCAGCCATTCCCATGTTTTGTCTGTCATATTTAATGTTATCATTATCTTCAATATCCTTATTAAAACTGGTAAGCTGAAGCAACAAATAGTTGAATACATTGTTTAAAATTATATTGCTTCAGAGTTCCACGTACTCATAAGCATTCATCTGAGTCTTCTACTTATCTAAATACCTTGAATAATATCCCAAAAGGATAAAAGAATGTGGCTTTTTTTCCCCCCACCTTAATCAATATTTGCCTTGGAAATACTGGATATCCTGGGGCCATCCACTTTTTATTTTTCTCATGTTTCAGTAAATCAGTTCTAAAAATGCCTTCATTCTTTTCTTTCTGCGATGTAAATAACCCTTTCATTATCAAGTGTTTTCTACCATATCTATATTCAGAATTTCATATTACGAAGGTCTTGGATAATATCCTAATTTTTAACTCTTTGATTATAAGGCCTAAGAGTAATCAAGAACTAGCATCATTTTCTTCCTCAAAAACACATTAATCAATGTTTTATTTTTAAATGACTCATTTCAATCTTTGGGAAGGATGATATTTGACTCAAGAATATTCAGAAATGAAAGGAAATTTTTAAAGTTCTAGCAGGGCCCATGAGTGGCTATACCAAATCCATTGAGAAATCAAATGCATTTGGACACGTTCAGTAGAGTTGAACAGAGCAAGGTCATTGCCAGGTATGTAACAGTAAGATTTCATAATAGAAAAAGATGTTGGAGAATCTTCTTTCAAAAGCATCATGGATGTTTCCCAGAAGCAAATCATATACCTTTAGTAGGAAAAAAAAATCTACTAAATTATCATTGGGTTACCTTAACTTTGTTAATTATGAATAGCATATTTTTGGTGCATGTGAATATTTCTGAATACTGCCACCTGGGTGCCTTTGGATAGAATTAGAAAAGCAGTGAACACAGAACTGTGTTCTGCAACATGGATGTACTCGTATTTAAACAGCCACATGAACTTTCTGCTGAACCAAGTAAGTCCACAGGCTGTAACCATCTCTAACACATCAGAGAACTATTGTACTGATTGGTCGGAGCCAATTACATTATGTAGGGCAAATACAGACACACTGCTAATCAGAAAACATCTAGAATTGATGTAAGTTTTTCTTTTTCTTTTAATAATACAGCATTTCACCTATCAACCACAAAACCTGCAATGATTACTTTTTGTCAAAAGAGTTTCTCAATTTACTATGGATGTCAAATTTGGCTTCTTCAACCTTCCATCAGTATTTTTTTTTTTTTTTTCCTTGAATGTATTCATTAGGACAACTATAATCTCCTGTTGCTGTTAGGTGCCATCAAGTTGATTTTCAACTCATAACAATCCCATGTGACAGAGTAGAACTGTCCCCGTAAGGTTTTCTAGGCTGTAATCTTTATGGGAGCAGATTGTCTGATCTTTCTCCCATGGAGCCACTGGGGAGTTTGAACCACCAACCTTTTAATTAGCAGCCCAGCACCTAACCATTTCATCATCAGGGTAATCTAACTTTTGTAGTTTGAACACCCTTCATTTTACTTAGTACCCAAGAGGACTGTGTGCTGGATTGAACCCCATGAGAATTATCAGCTCTATATGAAAGAAGGTTCACAAGCAGTGAAGACAATCAGAGCTCAGTGAGCACAAGCCAAAGACAGAAGGCAAGATTCTTTTTCCTCTTGATTTATACCAATCTTCTTTGTATTAACCTTGCTTGCCACTGTGGAGATATTTCTCTGTGTCTTTTTGTGTGTGTGATCTGCAGCTTGAGAATATATTAAGCAGACTCAGTACTGAATAACTTGACAAATGATAGTCAATATGTGTTTTCCCTTTTCTTGGGTCTTCTCCACATAAAAAAAGGAAATGTGGATCGTGTTCCTAACAAAGGAAGGTAGAGATGGGGGGGGGGGAGGCGGAAACGAGTAGAGAATTAGTGATAGAAAAATAGAAGCAAGGCTCTTGTGTGGTCTCATTCATTTGCTATCTCTTTTTCCCATTTTATTTCTCTGACCTGCTTTGCTAGTAATGATCGGTTTTTCGCACATGGAGACCCCCAAAGCCCCAGTGTGAGGTTCCCCCCTCACAGTTAAGTGAGTGTATCCAAGCTGGTCATCCTCTAGGAGCTGATGTTTTCTCCAGCTTGGTCAATCCTTGTTTCACTACTGTGGTGTCAGGTTTCAAGAGCCAGGAATAAGAGGTGTATATTTTCACTTTGCTTCACATAGATAAAGACAGAAGATTTTAATACAGCAGAACCTGTGAGAGCTGGTACTCTACAGGACTGCCTTGGTTTTCTGGGTCTTCCAAATTTTCCACTTTTGACAGGATACATACAGTCTTACCACGTTTTTATCACTATTAGTGGAAAATATGTGAGTTATCCTTCTCTGACAGGTTTCTGCCTTACACAGGTTCCAGCTTTTGCAGATTTTACTGTATATACATGTGATATATTAAAATATCAGAAGACTACTGAGGTAGTGGTAATCCTCAGGGTCCTTTTTTTACCTGAAAGCTAGTGCCTTTTCTCTTACCTATATCCCCCCCGCCCCCAATTCCTTAAAAAAATGCTCTGAATGAATTACAACTGTATTATCATTGCTATCTCTAGGTATGAACCCATCAGTCAGAGCACATCCTTAAGCCCCTAACCAAACCCACTGCCATGGAGTCGATTCCGACTCACAGCAACCCTACAGGACAGAGTAGAAGTGCCCATAGGGTTTCCAAGGCTGTAATCTTTAGGAAAACAGATTGCCACATCTTTCTCTCATGGAGTGGTTGGTGGATTCAAACCATCAATTTTACGGTTAGCAGCCGAGCGCTTAACCGCTGGCTCTACAAGTCTGCATTTGGAAGAAAAGAGTCAGTTCTGAAAGAAATCATGAGGCTCCTCTTCCTGTAATAACGGTGTGTGCTATTTTGAAACTCCAGGGTCCCAACTGAGAGCCTTCCATCTATCAGTAAAATTAGAGCTGTCCCCAGGAGTAAACTGAGATTATTTCTTTAATCATATTTCATACAGACTGTGAGTGACTCAAGGGCAGGAACCAGGTCTTGTCAAATGTGTACCCACAATACTAAAACCAGTGTTTAGCACATCCAAAACCCAACCAAACCCGCTGCCTTTGAGATCATCCTGACTCATAGTAACACTATAGGACAGAGTAAAACTGCCTCATAGGGTTTCCAAGGAGTAGCTGGTGGATTCAAACTGCTGACTTTTTGGTTAGCAGAGTTCTTTAACCACTGTCTCACCGGGGCTGCATTTAGCACATACACATTGCCGTCGAGTCAATTCCGACTCACAGCAACCCTATAGGACAGAGTACAACTGCCTCATTGAGTTTCCAAGGAGCACCTGGTGGATTCGAACCACCGACCTTTTGGTCAGCAGCCGTAGCACTTAACCACTACGCCACCAGGGTTTCCATTTAGCATATAGTAGGTCTTTAATAATTATTGCTGAACTGAATTGAGTTTGCTGACACACAGCAGCAAAAATTATTTTACAACTGTAGATGATTTAAAATACTTCCATAGTTCGCGGTGGCACGTCATCTAGACTATGGAATTTTATTTAGGAGACAGCGAATAAATTATACTGAAACTTTCTTCCAAGTAGTATTGAATTTACTTTACAGAATCATTACCTTTTAATCTTAGCATTCTAAAAAGGGTACCCCTATTGAGAAGGAAAAAAATACCACAGCATCCTTGAATATAGGTTGAAAACTCAACTAACAAAACAGGGCCCTGCAGAGATCGATGCAGTGTATGAAGAATACTGTAGTATTTTCTTTCTTAGAAAGGAGGCAACCTAATCACCTTCAAGTTTCCCACATTTGAGTTATACTACGAATGAGTTTTGTCCAGGTACAGAAAAACCAACAATATTTTATTTATAATCTTATTTTAGTGTTTGAACTACAAATTCTGGTTCTAGAGTTGTTTAAAAGATCGGGGGTTTTATAGATGCTCATATGTAAATTAATCTGTTGTTTGCTTACTTTTCTTTTTCTTTTCTTTTCCATAGAATGATCCGCCTCATAAATACAGAACAGGTTATTACATGAAAAATATAAGATCTTGCATTTTTTCCTCATTCTTTCTTAAAAATCTATTTCTAATATTGCATTCCCCATTGGACTACTTCATAAGGGCATGAGGAAAAAAAAAAAAAAGAAAAAAAAGGAGACAAAATAGACCGGATCTCACCACTAGAATTCACCATAAAAATCTCAAAGTGTAACAGAATTCTTACAAAATTTCCTAGACCAGTTCTTCAGGGAATTGAGATCTCCTATGAAAAATATGGTAATCAGGGAAGGGAGGGACGAAATGTGGGAAAATAGTAAATAAGTGCAGCAAAAACAGGTTCTGAGGAATACACATAATTTTGTCTGCTTTAGCTCACAATAGAATTTTTAATAAATAAATTTCTTTTCTTTTTTGTTTTTTTTGTAAAGACACTTTTTTTGAAACAGTAGATTTAGCCCAGTCATTTGTATCATTTTTAATAAACTGTCTTTTTTTTTGATTGTTTGTTTTCTGTAACTCTGTGAATGTTTTAGATTTGAGTCTCTTGTACATTGTCTTTAGAGTTCATTCGAATCAATAACGGTTCATGCACTGAACTGTGTATTGAATTTATTGTGTTAACTGTTGTTGTGTGGTTGAAGGGAGATTTGTAAGAGTTATAGTGATTTAGGTGCTCATGCTCAATAGCAGGCATGGGCAGGTGGCTTTCCATGGGTGTGTCCCCTGTAATCTCATCATCCACATTAATGATTTCAACAGTCCGTGTTGGGGCGTGATGGTTTTGTCGATGATGCTGTTTCCTCATCTTGTAGAAAATAACCAGCATCACTGCTGCCATAAGTGTGATGGCCACAAAGCAGCCAATGATGATTTTGGTAGTCTTCATGACCTCATCGATTCCTGGGATCCCACTGTTTATATCAGTCACTGGGACGGTGAATGTTTTTTCTGTCGACCTTGTGCTCTGTGGCGTGAGAGAGATGGTCACATTGGTGGTCTCCCAGTCGATCACTGGAGTGGGGCCCACATTGTTATCTGTGGTCCGAGCCTCATCCTGAGAAGGTTCCATAGTCTCTACTGTGACGGTTGAAAAGTAAGAGAAGGGAGTAGTGGTTGCTGCAGTAACGTTTAGGGTGGCCGAAGCAGTGGTATTTCCAACGGAATTACTCACCATACATGTGTACATGCCTGTATCTTGCACGGTTACATTCGTGAAATTTAACGTGCCATCGCTGAGCACAGCTATCCGCACTTTGTATGCCCCATGTGTCATGACTGTTCCGTTTGGAGTAATCCAAGATACAGAGGTCAGGGACGTGGAGGCCCGGCATTTCAGCTCAGCTGCCATGCCTTCAGTGACATTGAGGTCTGCTGGGGGCTCCACGATCACGGGAGCATAGCATGTGAAATAATTCTGGTCGAGCTCCCCGATGTACCTCCCTTTCAGACTGGGAGGAGTGTTACACCGGGCACAGCAAGCTGTGTTGGAGGGGGCCATGTCTTTTATCCACCAGCTGAGCCACAGTATGTCACAGTTACAGTTCCAAGGGTTGTGATGTAAGTGTATCCGCTCTAGATGATGCAAGGGAGTGAAGAGGTCATGAGGCAGTAACGTTAGATTGTTGTGTGCCAGGTTGATTTCCACCAGTGACTGAAGGTTATCAAAGGCATTCCGTTCAATCACTTGAATCTGGGACTGTATCATCCACAGTTTTTGAAGGTGCATCAACCCCTGGAAAGAGCCAGGCCTGATGGCAGACAAATGATTCCCAGAAAGATCCAGCTCATCCAGTTTTATAAGTGGTGTGAGGTTAGGGATTTCCCGGAGGTTGCACATGGCAAGGTTCAAATACCTCAAATTGGACAGACCTTCAAAGGCACCTTCTGAGATGTACGAAAGCCTTTTCAATTCCCCCAAGTCCAGCCGGCGCAAAGAAGGGATTCTGTTAAAAGCATAAGAAGGGATGCTTTCAATGGGGTTGTTCCGCAACCAGAGCTCCTTCAGTTTAGACAAATATACAAAAGCTCCATTCGGGATGGTAGTAAGACGATTGTCAAAGAGTTCCAGAGTGTTGAGGTTCGCCAGACCATTGAAGGCCCCAATTTCAATTGTTCTAATGTGATTCCTACTCAACTGTAGGATTTCCAGGTGCCTCAAGTGCTTGAAGCTGTTCACTTTGATGATCTGGATTTGGTTCTCATGGAGGTTCAGCAGCCGTGTGTTGGTTGAGATGCCATCTGGAACCTCACGCAGGTTTTTCCGAACACAAATCACCTTGCTGAACTGGTTGCTGCAGGAGCAGACGGAAGGGCAGGTTTGAGCCCGCACCAGACCAGCCACCACAAGAAGTTGGAGAGCCAGCAGCACCACAAGCAGGGGGTCAAATAAGGCCCTGTTAAACCTAGGACCTATCATTATCTGCTGTGGATGTAAGGTCATCTTGTTCAACATTCATAATTTATCTGGTGTTGGTCCTTCTGGAGTTCAAACAATCTGCAAAAAAAAAAAAAAAGTATTAGCGCAAAATCTTCCTGGAAAAATGTCAGTGACTCAATGTGTCAGCTAAAGCTATCCATTACTCAGACTAAGAAAACAAGAAATCAAATATCTCTTATTGAACAATGTTGTCTATATTTATAGGGACATGTTTCTATATTCCAAACTAGCAGCCATCCACAGCCCACATTCCATCAGATGTGCAACCACAGAAAAATGACGGAGGGCTCCAATGTAGTGTTTACCGACAGTGTGACCCAAATGCATGAGAATATGTGTGATGTACTCCACCATCAGGATCAACATTCAGACCAGATTGAAAAAGTTCAGAAAATAGAACTTTGAGCCTGTACCCAACCAACTAAAAGCATCTTTGCAAAATTAGTGATAACAAGCAACAGTTGCTGTTAAGTCGTCCCAAACTCATGGTGATCCCATGTGAGAGAGTAGAACTGTGCACCATAGGGTTTTTAATAGCTGATTTTTCAGAAGTAGATAGCCAGGTCTTTGTTCAGAGGACCCTCTGGGTGTACACAAACCTCTAACCTTTTTGGTTAGCAGCTGAGTGGGTTAATTGTACTACCCAGGGATTCTAAAAAAAATGAGTAATAGCCAACATTTATTGAAAGTTACTCTATGTGCCAGGTACCATGGGCTACAAACTTTACAAACAATCCTATCTAGGACTGGCTAGGATTTAGTGCAAAATGAAAATGTAGGGTCTATTGTTCAAACATTATTAAGAATATTAAGACATTAACTGCAGACCCTTAAAACAAGAGTGGGTCCTTCTGAGCATGGGGCCCTTTGTGACTGCACAGGTTGCATACTCGTAAAGCTGGCCCTAATCCAATCTAATCCTCACAGCACTTCGGTGAGGTAGGAATGGCTATTGTCTCCATTTTCAAAATGAGGCAATTTAATCAGATTATTGTCTGACTGATCCCACAAAAAAAGTTGCCGTGAGAAGGAGGGCAAATGCAAACTATTTTTCACAGTTCATTGCTTTAAAATCCCTTTCCTTTCATGGTGACCTCAGGTGTAAACACTGGTAACTTATGGTACCTCTGGAGATGCAATGAAATAGTGGCCTGAACAAATGTACATAACTTCTAGAGATTAATCTCAGGCACTAAAATTCATTATAATATAGTCAACAGGCATACCACAAATGAAATCATTCCCCCAAAACATGATTTTTATTTACAGAAAAAAATTAGTATAACAGGACTATTACATGCCTTGTGTTCCTACTTCACTGATTTTAAGTAAATTACAGGAAGGAAAACAAAACAAGTCCCTGTCTGCATCTCTTCCAACAGAAGGAGTAATTCCAACAGAGCTTGTGTTACTCAGTATAGGCCCCCCTCGGTTGGTTTACCGTGGACTAGGCACGTGTGTTAGTAATATTTCCCAAATCTCTGATCTTAAAAAACAGTATCTCTTCTATGAATCTCCTGGAATGAAAGAAAGAAAAAAAAAAAAAAAAAAGCCTCCTTACATTCCAATTTAAAAAGACACGTATTTAATACTTTTTATGTGTCACCTTGGGCAAGTGACTTTTCTTCTACCTGGCTCAATCTCCTTACTTGCAAAATAGGAACAATACTATTACCCACTCTTAAGTGTTGGGCAAATATGAGAGACAGAAGAGCTTTGGAAGAAAGGAGGGACAAGGAAAATAATAAGGGACAATTAGGAAGCTCTTCCAGTTGTTCCAAGGGAGCCTTGGGGAGAAGCCAGTGCCAGAGATGGGTCCAGTTTCACAGCCTTCACTTCCATGCTCAACAAATGGCTGGCTTCTTCTTAGGATATAACCCCTCTACTGGTTGGTGAGATTGCCCAGTGTAAATTAGTGTTTGTGAATATCTGCATTTACCTAAAGCACACAAGATGGAGAAGAGGCTTTTTTCAAATAACAAGAGATGCCCTACTCATTAAAGATAGTTGTCAGTGGGAATCCAGCTCCCTGGAAAAAGGAATGTCCTTAAACATATACCCACATTTGCAAAACCACTGAAAGGGACCTGAGTCTCAGGAAGGTGAAGTGTGAAGTCATAGACTCTTGTTTTCTGGCTTCAGAGGTTTGTTTTTGTCTCCTTCCTTGTGTCAGCAAAGACAGTTGAAACAGGTGACTGATAGATTCTGAGTCACTACTTCTGTGAAGCTTTTGCTGGTGCTCCCAGGGACACCTACTTGCTTCCTTCCTCAGGGCTGTTGTAGCTCTAGGTAGACTTTCCACAACATCTAGTATTGTGATCATTTGTTCCTGGGTCTATTTCCACCACTAGCCTGTGGACTCCGTGATGACAGGGGTCACGTCCAATGGTCTGTGCTTAGCCTATTTCCAACACATTACCTGGCACGCTGTAGGCACTAAATAAAATGACTGTGAACGACATGCAAAACAGTAAATATCGAATTGCAAATTTTTGCATATATGTAGCGATCTGTACTAATTGCTGAACAGCAGGCTCTGCCTCATTATATTAACCCAATTGATAACGTCTATCCCATTGTCTCATTTATACTTTGACAACAATACTGTTGTCAGGCTTCATACCCTGAGTTAGATTAAGAGTTATCTTTCATGTTTATTTAAATATGGCCTTAAAAAGAAATATGGACTTTTAGATTTCCATGGCAGAACACAATTTAAATCCCAGTGATGATGACCATTGAAATGTTCTTATTTGTGTGATTTAGTATAGCTTTATATATGCCACCCCCATACACACTCACAAACACCTGTTAAGGTAATTGTGTCTTAAAAAGCAAAACAAACAAACAAAAACCAGAATATCATACAAAATCCTCAATACACAAAATAGTCAATGTTTTTAGGGTTGGGGTCCCAGGGTCCTGTTCCTCTATTCCTTTTCCCATTCCCCACCCCATGATCTCATCAGAATTCTAGGGCCTCTGGCGACATTTAATAATAACTGGTTGGCTTGGAAATAGCATAGAAGTGAAGAAGGTAAGTCCCTACTCTGCCATTTGCTACTTTTTTCTCTTTAAAATATGGTATAGCAAAGGCAGCCATACCCAGTGGTTAAGAGTGAGATGACCTGCCTTCAAATCCTTGCTGGAATCTCCTTGCCCCAGTCATTAGAAAAGTTACTTCACATCTCCAAACTTCAGATTCTCCATGTGGAACAGGGGAACAATAATGTTATCCACCAGAAAGGCTCTTGTTAGGACTGTCACATCATATATGTCAGTTTGTTGTTGTTTGTGTTAGCTGCCATTGAGTTGGCCCCCAACTCATAGCAACCCCATGCACAGCAGAACAAAACACTACCAAATCCTGCACCATCCCTAGGATCGGTTGCGGATAGGACTGTTGTGATCCATAGGGTTTTCATGGGCTGGTTTCTAGAAGTAGATTGCCAGGTCTTTGTTCCTATTTCATTTTAGTCTGGAAGCTCCACAGCATTATAACAACATGCAAGCCTCCACTGACAGGTGGTGGTTGCACATACTGGCTCATAATAAGCAGCATACAATAAAAATTTAATATATGTTAAAAGTAAGGTTATAATTTGGTGAAGGGTAAGACAGTACACAGTACTGGGGAAGCCAGCACAACTTGTACAAGGAAAGGTCATGGAAGCTCCATAGACACATCCAAACTCCCTGAGGGACTGAATTGCTGGGCAG